TTTTTCATTTAGGTCATGTATTTTTCACTAGTTCTTTTGTTTCTTTTTTCCCATTTTTCTATTTTAAGTGTTTTGTGTCTTTTAAATATTTGAGCATATATGTCACAGTGCTTTTTGACCTCTTTGAGAGTTAATTACATTGTTTTGGTTATAACCCACCTGGTAATGGGGTTATAGTCTGCTGCTTTTCTGCATGTTTAGTAATTTTTGTTGGGTGTTGGACATTTGAACTGTGTTGTGAAGCATATTTTGTTGACATGTTTGTTTTGGCAAGCAGATGCTAGGATGCATCTTCAGCAGCTTTTAGTCTTATGGCTACTTTATTTAGCCTTCCTGCTAAGGGGCCACCTTTTTGTGGCTTTTACTGACTGCGCCATGTATTCACAGACATGGCTAACTGGACTTTGAACAGCTTAGCATCCTTTCTCAGGTTAGTATCTAGCTCCGACTTAAGCCCACACACCCAGATGTTTGAGTCCCCTCCTCTCCCCAGCTCCAATCTGACTCGGACATAGCAAAGCCTGCTGTGTTCTTGGTTTCCCCTTGATGTGCTGTCCCTCAGACATTGCTCCTGGGATGCAGGTTGTGTTGGAGGGGGCTGTGTGGGCTTCTGCTTTCTGCCCCCAGGGTGCTCTGCTGCCAGCTGCCCTAATGTCTGGGTCCAGATGGTCCCCATCCTCTGCCCTGTTTTCTAGGCCTGTGGTAGGAAGACAAGCATGGTAACTGTGAGCTCCTTAACAACAGCAATCGCAGTTCATTTTCTGGATTTTGTTGCATGAGTTTCGTTTTGTGTTTCATGGCCAGTTTGGAGAGGTGAACTGTTGTCCCTGTCTTTTTATCTTCTCAGAGTCCCATATACTGCTTTATATATATAAGGTTTCACAAGAAAAACAATGTGGTTACTATATTCACCCTTATTGAGTCCCCTCCTGTACCCACTGCAGTCACTTGTTTAGTAAGATGCCACAGAGTCCCTACTTGTCTTCTCTGTGCTTCTCTGTGTCTTCCTTGTGACCCCACACACACCATGTGCACTAATCATAATGCCCATCAATCCCCATCTCCCTCTCAACTTGCCCTCCCCCAACCCTCCCCTTTGGTAACTGCTAGTCCATTCTTGGAGTCTGAGTCTGCCACTATTTTGTTCCTTCAGTTTTGCTATGTTGTTATACTCCACAAATGAGGGAAATCATTTGGTACTTGTCTTTCCCCCCCTGGCTTATTTCACTGAGCATAATACCCTCTAGCTCCATCCATGTTGTTGCAGATTATAGGATTTGTTTCTTATGGCTGAATAGTATTGCATTGTGTATAGGTACCATATCTTCTTTATCCATTCTTCTACTGATGGACACTAAGGTTGCTTCCATATCTTGGCTATTGTAAAAAGTGCTGCAATAAACATAGGGGTGTATATGTCTTTTCGAACTTGAGAAGTTGTATTCTGTGGGTCAATTCCAAGGCATGGAATTCCGGGGTGAAATGGTATTTCTATTTCTAGAAATTTTTTTGAGGAACCTCCATATTACTTTCCACAATGGTTGAACTAGCTTACATTCCCACCAGCAGTGGAGGAGAGTTCACCTTTCTCCGCATCCTTGCCAGCATTTGTTGTTCCTAGTCTTTTGGATATTGGCCATCCTTACTGGTATGAGGTGATACCTCATTTTGGTTTTAATTTGCATTTCTCTGATAATTAGCAGTGTGGAGCATCTTTTCATGTGCCTGTTGGCCATCTGAGTTTCTTCTTTGGAGAAATTTCTGTTCATATCCTCTTCCCATTTATTAATAGGATTATTTGCCTTCTGGGTGTTGAGGCATGTGATTTCTTTACATATTTTGGATGATAACCCCTTGTCGGATATGTTGTTTACAAATACATTCTCCAGTTATGCAGAATGCCTTTTTGTTCTGCTTATGGTGTCCTTTACTGTACAGAAGCTTTTTACCTTGATGAAGTCCCATGTGTTCACTTTTCCTTTTTGTTTTCCTTGCCTGAGGAAATGAGTTCAGGAAAAAGTTGCTCCTGTTTATATTCAAGAGACTTTTGCCTATGTTTTTTCCTTAGAGTTTTATGGTTCCATGATTTACATTCAGGTTTTTTATCCATTTTGCATTTAATTGTGTGTATGGCATTAGACAATTATCCAGTTTCATTCTCTTGCATGTAGCTGTCTAGTTTTGCCAAAACCAGTTGTTAAAAAGGCTGTCATTTCCCCATTGTATATCCATGGTTCCTTTATTGTATATTAATTGACCATATATGCTTGAGTTTATATCTGCGCCTTCTAGTCTGTTCCATTGCCCTATGGTTTGATTCTTGTGCCAGTACCAAATTGTCTTGATTACTGTGGCTTTGTAGTAGAGCTTGAAGTTGGGGAGCATAATCCCCCCAGCTTTATTCTTTGTTCTCAGGATAGCTTTAGCTATTCAGGGTCTTTTGTGGTTCCATTTGAATTTTAGAATGATTTGCTCTAGTTCGTTGAAGAATGCTGTTGGTATTTTGATAGGGATTGCATTGGATCTGTAGATTACATTAGGTAGGATGGCCATTTTGACCATATTAATTCTTCCTGTCCATGAGCATGGGATGTGTTTCCATTTATTGGTATCTTTAATTTCTCTCATGAGTGTCTTATAGTTTTTAGAGTATAGGTCTTCCACTTCCTTGGTTAGGTTTATTCCTAGGTATTTTATTTGTTTTGATGCAATTGTGAATGGAATTGCTTCCCTGATTTGTGTCTCTGCTATTTCGTTGTTAGTGTATAGCAATGCCACAGATTTCTGTGTATTAATTTGGTATCCTGCAACTTTGCTGAATTCAGATATTAGGTCTCATAGTTTTGGAGTGGATTCTTTAGGGTTTGTTATGTGCAATATCATGTCTTGCAAACAGTGACTGTTTGGCTTCTTCCTTACCAATCTGGGTGCCTTTTATTTCTTTGTGTTGTCTGATTGCCGTGGCTATGACCTCCAAAACTATGTTGAATAACAGTGGGAAGAGTGGGCATCCTTGTCCTGTTACCGATCTTAGAGGGAAAGCTTTCAGCTTCTTGCTGTTAAGTATAATGTTGGCTGTGGGTTTGTCATATATGGCCTTTATTATGTTGAGGTACTTGCCCTCTATACCCATTTTGTTGAGAGTTTTTATCATGAATGGATGTTGAATTTTGTTGAATGCTTTTTCAGCATCTATGGAGATGATCATGTGGTTTTTGTCTTTCTTTTTGTTGATGTGGTGGATGAAGTTGATGGATTTTCGAATGTTGTACCATCCTTGCATCCCTGGGATGAATCCCACGTGGTCATGGTGTATGATCCTTTTGATGTATTTTTGAATTCGGTTTGCTAATATTTTGTTGAGTATTTTTGCATCTATGTTCATCAGGTGTATTGGTCTGTAATTTTATTTTTTGGTGGGGGGGGTCTTTGCCTGGTTTTGGTATTAGAGTGATGCAGGCTTCAGGCTTCATAGAATGAGTTTTGAAATATTCCCTCTAATATTTTTTGGAAAACTTTAAGGGGAATGGGTATTATGTCTTCTCTATATGTGTGATATAATTCAGAGCTGAATCCATCTGTCCTGGGGGTTTTGTTCTTGGGTAGGTTTTGATTACCAGTTCAATTTCGTTGCTGGTAATTGGTCTGTTTAGATTTTCTGTTCCTTCCTTGGTCAGCCTTGGAAGGTTGAATTTTTCTAGGACATTGTCCATTTCTTCTAGGTTTTCCAGCTTGTTAGCATATAGATTTACATAGTATACTCTAATAATTCTTTGATGTTGATGATTTTTATTGTGAAGTCTCTTTCAGGAAGATTGATGAGTTCAGTTTCACTTGGCCTTTTTTTCTGGAGTTTGTGAGATTCGCGGTTGAAAGAGGTTTGTTTGATGTGTCATATTTGTATGTGGCGCCCTCTACTGCCCAGAAGCTCTGCTCTCTGGAGTTCCTCAGCCCCTGGAGTGATGTCTGGGGTCACAAGGCAAAAAGCGCTGGTGCCCGGTGGGATGGTAGAGCTGTTTCCTGCTTCCTGGCTGCTGTGCCTGTCTCCACTGTCAGAACCAGTGGGCTGAGTGCACAGGTGTAAGCCTCTATGCTTTGCGTTTATATCTGCCGTAGGTATGCAGGGCCTCTCTGTGACTGGCCTGCCACCACGGCAAGAGATGCCAGTTTGTGAGCGCTGCCGGCCATCTGGGAGGAAGGCGCAGCTGGCTGCATATCACTGTGGGGGGTGTCAGAGCTGCCTAGCCAGCCAGGGGGATGGAACACATGAAGCTCTTGAAAGTTCCCCACCTGCTGAGCAGAGAGCTCCCGGATGATTTTGTCCACTTGTGTTTGCCCCTTTAGCAGCCCTCTTGCTGTGAGGAAGTCTCTCAGACTGCCCGTCTTTCTTTTGTCCTAGAGCAGCTGGGTGTGGATCCCTGTTTTCCACAAGCTGCTGGAATCTCAATCTCTTCAAGTATTCTGCCTCTCTTAGCTTTCCATCCCCACTAATCTCCAGAGCATCATGCAATGTAGGTTCGTGCTCCCAGAGCAGATCTCCAGGACTGGGTGTGAAGCAGTCCTAGGCTTCCATCCCACTTCCTGTTCCATTTCTCTTTCTCCCTCTGGTGAGTTGTATTGGGGGAAGGGCTTGGGTTCCATCAGGTCACAACTTTGGTATGTTACCCTTCTGCATGAGGTCTGCCCTTTTCTCCAGGTATATGCAGTCTGGCACAGCCTTCTTTCTTCTTGCTCTTTCAGAATGAGTCATATTAACTATATTTTCATATTACATGTCGTTTTGGGAGGAGGTCTCTCTCTCCTCTCACACTGCCATCGTTAGTCCATCCCTTGTACAGATTTTTAAAAGTTAAGTAAGCATATATCTTTTTACATGTTGGCTATTCATGGTTTATTTTCATTTCATGCCTTATACAGCAGTTTTTCAGAAGTTAATTTTTTCCAAATTTTGAAGCATTTTTCGTTCAGTTTTCATTGACTTCCACTCCCTTCTCTTTTAGGCCATGCTGGTGTGTCTGCAAGCATGATGAAGAAGAGGACATCCCACAAGTAAGAGATTCTGAAATGTGCCTCTTAGACAGGAGGTTGTGGCCTTTGATTATCTGGGACACAAAACCACTAATGTGGCCCCTACCCCTCCAGTGGGAAGTCGTTGCTCCTGCAGCCAGCCTCACGTGGCCTTGCTGCGTAATTGAGTAGAGGTGTGCAGTTGTATCAGTGTCCCTTCCCTTCTCCTTGACCTCATCTGAGTTCCTGGGTCCGACCTCCTTTCTCTGGAAACCTTTGGATCATGATTCCTGTCCAGTTTAAAGGGATCTAGACTGAGGGAAGGAGGCTTCAGCCAGGCAAGGTTGGCAGGCACAAGGTAGGCAGGCCTCTCCCGCTTGTTTCCTTGTGGAGTCTGCAGACTTGTGGTGTTCGGCTTCCTCTCTGAGTCTTGGATCTGCTGTTGGATAAGGAGTTCCTTGTGGGCCGAGGCCCTAGCTTGTGCGTGAGGGCCTGGCTAGCACAGTGCCTGGCACACTCTCACTGCCTTAGGACATTGTCAAGTGAATGAAAAGCTTGTAATTTAGAGAAAGCATGTGCATGTTGAAAGGTTATTAAATAGACATGTGTTTTAAGTGACAAGTGTGCTATAAGTCCCAAATTTCATAGGTACCTGAGCACAGAAGCCACTTTTTTCTCTTTGAAGTTTTGTGTGTAACATAGTTATATCAAAGAAGAAAATTGAGATACTATAACAGTAATAATTTCTACTCATCCTGTGTCATATTTAATAATACCCCCAGGTACTGGTGATGGGAACCACTTGGACAACCAGTTCCGATTTGTGAGTCTTGATCATAGACTGTCATGGGTGAAAGAGACCCTTCTTGGCCTAGCACCTCCTGGGTCCCTCCCTGTGGTTATTTCCAGCTTACACGTGTTGCAAAGTTGTGGCTCTTAGTCACTACACTGAAGTAGCTGAAGGGCAGGTGGGGCCCTTGGTGTTGTGGAGGGTCTGGGTGTGAATAAAAAGGCCTGTTCAGAGTTTTTGGTGATCAAACCAAACTTGCCTATTATTTACATGAGTACATGGATGTGGATGCATGAGGTAAATATTTGTGATATTTCATTCATGGGTGACCTGGCATATATAAGTGTGACAGTGAGGTAGATAAGCTCTAAGCCCCCTACTTGCCCATTATCTCCATAAATCTGCTACATCCAAGTACCTGATCACTCATCTCCCTCCATTGTCACATCAGTGCCCTAAACTGCAAACCATCTCTTGGTACAAACAGGATAGCAATTAAACCAGATGATGAGCCATAGAATTGAGGTAATGATAAAAACTAACAGTGGGCCTAACATCCAAAAGACAAACAACAAATGTTGGCAAGGATGTGGAGAAAGGGGAACCCTCCTACACTGCTGGTGGGAATGTAAACTAGTTCAACCATTGTGGAAAGCAGTATGGAGGTTCCTCAAAAAACTCAAAATAGAAGTACCATTTGACCCAGGAATTCCACTCCTAGGAATTTACCCTAAGAATACAGCAACCCAGTTTGGATAAGACATATGCACCCCTATGTTTATTGCAGCAGTATTTACAATAGCCGAGAAATGGAAGCAACCTAAGTGTCCATCAGTAGGTGAATGGATAAAGAAAATGTGGTACATACACACAATGGAATATTATTCAGCCATAAGAAGAAAACAAATCCTACCATTTGCAACATCATGGATGGAGCTAGAGGGTATTATGCTCAGTGAAATAAGCCAGGGGGAGAAAGACAAGTACCAAATAATTTCACTCATCTGTGGAGTATAAGAACAAAGAAAAAACTGAAGGAACAAAACAGCAGCAGACTCACAGAACCCAAGAATGGACTAACAGTTACCAAAGGGAAAGGGACTGGAGAGGATGGGTGGGAAGGGAGGGATAAGGGCGGGGAAAAGAGACATTACAGTTAGCACACATAATGTAGGGGGGGGGTACATGGGAAAGGCAGTGTAAGCAGAGAAGACAGGTAATGACTCTATAGCATCTTGCTGTGCTGATGGACAGTGACTGTAGTTGGGTATGTGTGGGGGACTTGATATTAGGGGGAATCTAGTGACCATAACGTGTTGAAGTAATTGTACATTAATGATACCAAAATAAATTTAAAAAAAACAGTGGGAAAGAAAAACAAATTACACACTAATTTTGCAAGACTAGAACTGTTCATGTAGAGCAGATTTTGCCAGTTAGGGTATTGCCAGTTTTACCATGGCCTTAAGATTGTAATGCGTTGTGTTTTATCAATTTGTACACATTTCCAGATAGGTGTGATTGAATATTCACTTAGGATTTCAGGTATTTGTGGGTCTGAACTTTTGGGCCTGTTATCAATATATTTGGTTTCAGGGAGGTTTCATATGCCTCGTCTTGGGCAGTATTTGTTCGTTAACTCACAACTGGGATGTACTAGTTCCTTTTTCCTTGAAGTACAAGGAATAAACACATACCTGTTACATGTTTGCAGTTCATATGTGCAGCAGCCCAAAAAAGATCTTGTATGTGCCACAATCGAGGAACATGATCTGATGTTTTCATAAAAGGTGTGCTTGCCTCACTGGGTGGAAGCCGTGAGTGTGTTACTGTGTAGCAAAGAGGGAAGTTGAAATGAAAAGTTGGCAGTCACATTTCCCTTTTTTTCCTAAACTCAGTGCAATAAAGGTGGGTAGAGTAGGAAAAAAAGACCCAAGCAAAAGTTTCTATGTTTCACAAATGATGGTTTTTACTAGTTGCCCATTGGAAGGCCAGCAGGGCGGGGCTGGTGGCAGGTGTGGCCCAGGAGCTGGCTTTGGATTGGAAGCCAGCTGGCTGCCTTTGCCAGTCTCTTCATTTGCCTGGCACTCAGCTGACTTGTGTCTACAAATCGTAGTGTTGATAGTGGGGTTTCAGCTTTTCAGCATAGAATCTTTTCAACAAACTAAATGTTTAGGATACCACATACAGAGAAGCAGCGTTGGAGCCTCACTCTGCCCTTGCCTGCCTCTGTTGCAGCCCTCTGGGGAGTAGGTCCCTAGGACTCCTTGCATGTCCTGCTCAGGAGCTGTTGTTTCCCACCTTGGTTCAGGGAGGCTGAGCAGTAGCTCCATATGCAGGCACCTCTGCTGGCTTGGCAGTCACAGGAGAGGCCGTGAGATGAGTGCCATCTGAGCCAGTGTCCTGAGAACAGTAGTCACTGTCCCAGGTTTGTGGAATTGGGCCTGGGGTACTTGGAGCAACTTCCCTGCCCTAGAAACTGCAACGTAGCTGGTGGCATTTGTTTTTAAGGCAAATGGAAGCGAAGGCCTGTGTATCCTGCAGGCCAGGCCCCTTGCTGTGTTTTGGGGCAAACTGGGGGACAGGCCTTTCAGAAAGTTGGCTGGGAAATGCATCCACAATGAATTGCATCTTGAGTATGGTTGGGGCATCTAAGGTGAATTTAACTGTAATGGCTCTTTGCAAATGTAAATCTGGTGGTTTTTCTTTCCTAATTTGAGGGGTGGAATTTCCTTTCAGGATGCTGCCTGGAAGTGTGACTTAGCATTGGTGCATTTTCCACTAACCTCCATGTAGGAGATGAGCAGGAGCTGGTACACACTGAACAGTGGTGTTGGCAGGGAGTGTTTCCTTCCCTCTTATGGACATGTATCCTAGTCACTAGCACTGTATACTTGTGCCTGCTGTGGTCTTTACGGCATCCCTGTGCAGTATGAACCAGGAACCCTTTTATGTGCATACCTGTTAAAGCCCCTGTAAGGAACCTGTCTGAGGCCCTGTAAATAGGACTCAGCAGGATAGTCAGACTTCAGAATGCATACCCCTACCCCAAAGCACTGTTTTGTTGTCTCATATCTGAAAAAGGAGTTATTTCAGTCATAAACACACAGACTAGAAAACTATTGGCACAGGTATCTACATGAAGCATGGTGTTGACAGTCTTATATCAGCCAAAACATGTAATACCGCCTCATCAACCTTCAGTAACTTACACCAGTGAAGGCCAGTAGCGCTTTGGGGGCCCTCTAGGCATGTGGATGTGTGCCATAGTCTCTGGTGTTTTGAGGGTACGTGGTGTGTAGACATCATAAGGCAAAGAATCCCTAGTGCTGGGGTGGGAAGCTGAGTTTTTTCTCCTGTTTCTTTCTCGACCCTTTAAGCTAGGTAGGTCATTACCGACTGTAGACCTTGTGCTAAGCAGCAAGGACAGAGAAGCAGTATTTTCTCTCTCTCTTTAGTGGTGTGCGTCCTGCAAAAGACAGCTACTTTGATGTAATCCTTGTTCTGAAATCTCCTGGAACACAGTAAGACAGCTGCTTTTACATCACAGACTAAAACAGAACAAGGAAAGCATGTCAGTCGCTTGCTTATATAACGAAATGGATGGTGTATGACAGGCACTTACTGGTTTGTAGTTGTAGTAGATGAAAATTTAGCAAACAAGTGTGGTGCCCTTTAAATATTGGCTACCAACGTGAGCTATTTAGTGCCTGATGAGGGCTAGCTGTCAGTGAAAGTCATTAAGGGAGTATAGGTAAAAGGTGGAGGGTTGTTAACACAGGATTTCTACTCTTGACGACAAAATAATATGAATGGTACTTTCAAAACTTTAAAATACATGAATATCTCTGTGGGGAAGTTGGGGTTCCTATGGCCAGGGTCCTCACTGAACTTAAAGCACTTGATGCTGTAACTGGCCTGTTGCTAGGCTACTGCTTCCACACCCATAGTCAGTAAGCTATTATTGCATTATATAGAGAGCTTGGCCCAGTGTTCTGGGCAGGGGCAGAGACACTAGTGCTCAACCTACCGCTGGGAGAACAAGTCGGGTAATAAACTCTTTCACCCCAAGAACATTCTACTGTCATTTCTTTGGTCACATTGAATCCATACTCTGGGGTTGAAATCCATTGGCAAGACACCAAAGAAAAGAACATTCTGGGGTGAAAGGGTTATTTATATACTCAACTATTTCCATGGTGGTAGGTCAACCACCAAAATCTTGTCCACTCAGAGCGAGTGTGCATGCAGC